TTGAGAAAGATAGTACAACTATTGTAACCTTGCTTCTGAAAATAATACGACGTGTTATCCAGTAGCTACAACTAATTTATTTGTATTTGTAAGAATCGTTGAATGAAAACAATTAATTGGTTTTCAGTATTTTGACTATTTGCAAACTGGAATGAACTCCTATTATAAAACCATATTGATTTTAAAATGTGGCCACTTTAAAATTGTTATAACCTACTTGAATTTTTAATATTGTTAAATTCCTAATATTAATTACTGACATAATACTTTGTTACATCATTCACAAATACTATTCAGCAGTGATGGTTACTGTAATGCTGTGAAGAAATTCTGTTTATTCACAAATGTAGATCCAATTGTTTTGGCATGAGGTAGTTTAAATAATGATTTATTGCAGAAGTATCCGATAAGTACAATAGAGAAACAATTGCAATACTAATTCAGGTAAAAAAAATTACAATTCTAAAGTTATATGTAATGTATATTGGAACCATATACTTTTTCGATTTAACCAATGCATTGACATAACGGTGGTTTGAAACATTGAACATTCTTACTGTGGTATCTCAGATTTTAAAATAAGTATTAATGTATGTCTGTTGCCATTTATGTCGAAAAAATAAGGTTATTTGACAAATAAGGTTAGTCAATACTAGTGTACAAGATCGAAATAAAATATATTGTTACAGAGTATATATACAAATATAATAAAACGTACATTCATAAACAGATAAGGGTATCCAACTTTTGATGAACATCATCGCCAATTGATTGTAAGGAATTCATATTTTCCGATCATTAGTCTAGTTTAACAAGACTTCATCGACAAGACAAAGAAGTGACCGAGGAAGTGCCATTATTCGGTACACACTGTACAAATACATGTGTACAAAATAATATATTTGATATTGCCAGAATGGCTTTCAAATCCATGGTTTTCGATTCAGTATTCAGAATCATTCATTATGCAAGCCACTTGTGTGCGAAATACAACAATGAGTCTCTAAATGCAACACTCTTAAAAAAAAAATTCAAATGGTTTGAAAGAAAGTGACAATTCATGCAATTAAAGACACCAGTGTATAGTAAGTATGCTTACCATGAAGCATGTCGTTTGTGAGAAAGATTCACCGAATGTTTGGCTTCAGTTGTGGTAATGCAAATGATTCAACCCATCACTAGGTTTATATAAATTTAATAATCTTTATCAACACGGCCTATATCGTTTATTAACTTCATACATGAAATATTGACAGCAGTGCTTGGCCATATATATATATATATATATATATATATATATATATATATATACATATCAATTTAAATATAGTGTTATACAATGTACACAAACTGTGCTGGATTGTATATATACTGACTTAGTGTATACTGGTTATATAAATATGCCTGAATCTCGGTGTCTTCATACGGTCTCGTCCCATATGTTATAACAGCCTCGTACAATATTCAATGTTACAAATATGAATTCTTCTGTTCGTTACTGTACAGGGAGTCGCCGCCCAGCTTAGATATGTGCTGCATAAACCTTTAATATTCATCTTTCGACCAAATTCGAATATGTAATTTTAACATATATATTGAGAATCTTGGGTTTATGATCCTGATGTCCGTCACTTTTTCACGGACAGTACTGGACTGTCCATCAGGCCAGCCACTGCACTGTCTGTGCTGTCACTAGAAAAATCACAAAGAGAAACTATTACTGCACAATTCCTAAATTTGTAGATTGAACTTGTTATTGTTCGAAGTAAACCACTTCAATTTTGCGAAAGAAAAATTTGTCCCAGAGTCTGTGAAAATTGTGAAATGCTGTAGCAGTGAGAATTTCACAGGAATCTTAAAGACACAGAACGAATATTTTCGTGTAATATTGTCCTCACGAGCGACGTTACATTATCAAATTTAAACGATTTACATTATTATGTTAATATATATGTATCATTAGATTTTTATGATATACAGCCATACGATATTGTTTCTAGATATAATTCCTTTTGCTGCACAATATCCTTTTTTCCGGGAACGTGAAGCTGACATCACTGCACTAAAATACTCATTGGGCAAATCATGGCACTTTTAGAACGAAAGTGAAATTTATTTGGTCTACACACAAGATATTACAGACTTACAGACTTTCCCGATCCCATTTGGGTAATTGTTTTTCGTATCCCTGTTTTCCAGTTAACCAGTACGTTGTTTGCGTCCCTTTGCCCTAAAAGTCAATGTAGATTTGTCAAATAAAATGAATAAATTATTATTAAAAATTAATGTATGGGAGGACAACAAAAAGAAAACAAACTGGAGACAGCTGTATGCTATTTTACCTTTATCTGTACGTCTCCTCTTCGCTTTGTTTCGAATCCTTCTTCCAGGGCATGTAACGCCGAATTCATATCGGAACTAATGTGAATGCGTAATGCTATGCAGTATAGAATGGGTTGTGAGTAAGAAATAATTCAAAGTTAACAAGTCCATATCAACATTCATAGACCAATAACACAAACTAATCGATAAAATAAAATTATCACAATCGTTTTACACAGTAAAAAAACGATGTCAGAAAAATAGTAAACTGAGCTCTAATATACGCAATTTCCTATTGTAACATTCTACATATTCTGTTACTAATTCCAAAACGTTAACCGTACGCGTGAGACAATACAACATATAACAAATGATCTATGCTAAGGGTATGTAGCCGAAAAGTAGCAAGAAGATTCGAAAAATGTCAAAACTTTAATAGTCTACTAAGCATGCGACATACTAAAACAATAAATTATATCTGATAACATACATTATTGTTTTCTTAATTTATTCAATGCGCATATATAAATGTCAGTGGATATTCATGGCTGGACGCTTACACATAAAGTTATCACGATATTCTCTCCCCATGTGTTGTTATATTTCTTTATAATGTTTTTTTTTAAACTATTACAATTTTACAGTCATTATTCACTGAGGAACTGTGATTGAACACAAAACCTGTATAATTGATACATAAATTAACTGTAAATAGACCGTAATTATCCGTAATTAA